GATTGGGGGGGTTCGTGGGGGACTGGGAGGGGTTTGGGGGGGTTTGGGGGGATTTTGGGGGGGTCTGGGAGAGATTTGGGGGGGAAATTTGGCAGGGATTGAGGGGGTTTGGGAGTGGTTTGGGAGGATTTGGGGGGGATTTGGGGGGCCTAGAGGTTGTTCAGGGGCCATTGGGGATTCAGGGGGGTTTTGGCAGGGGGGGCACCCAGTGTTTGGGGGAGTTGAGGGATTTTGGGGGGTCTGGGGGATGTCAAGGAAGAGGGTGAGGGGGAACAGAGTGCCTGGGGGTGTTTTGGGGTATCCTCAGGGAGTTTGGGGTTGGTTTTGGGGTGTTCTGAGTGCTTTGGGGTCGGTTTAGAGTGGGGGCTTCTGTTGTGGTCCCCAAGGGTGTTTTGGGAGAGATTTTGGGCTGTTTTCGTTGTTTTGCAAGAGTTCGGGGTGTCTGGGGGGAAGTTGGGGTCTTTTGGTGTGTTTGGGGGTGGTTTTGGGGTGTAATGGGGCGTTTTGGGGTGTTTCAGGGTGTTTCTGGGGTGTTTTTTTTCGGGGTGTTTTGGGGTGGTTTTGGGGTGTTACGGGTTGTTTTGGGGTGTTTCAGGGTGTTTCTGGGGTGTTTTTTTTCGGGGTGTTTGGGGGTGGTTTTGGGGTGTTACGGGGTGTTTTGGAGGTGTTTTGGGGCGTTTCAGGGTGTTTCTGGGGTGTTTTTTTTCGGGGTGTTTGGGGGTGGTTTTGGGGTGTTCTGGGGTGGTTTTGGGGTGTTACAGGGTGTTTTGGAGGTGTTTTGGGGTGTTTCAGGGTGTTTCTGGGGTGTTTTTTTTCGGGGTGTTTTTGGGATGTTCTGGGGTGGTTTTGGGGTATTCCAGGGCGTTTCTGGGGTGTTTTTGGGGTGTCAGTGCCGTACCGGGCCCCGTCCCCGCCGAGCCGCAGCCGCAGCTGGTTCAGCTCCTCCTGCAGAGCCTCGCGCTGCCCGTGCAGCTGCTCCCGCGCCGCGCGCTCCGCCTCGAAATCCGCGCGGTAAATGTCGGCCTGGGGACACCGGCGGGTCAGGAACCCCCAAAATCCAACGGGGGAACCCCCAAATTCAACCGGGGAACCCCAAAATCCAACCGGGGAACCTCCAAATCCACCCAAAATCCACCCAAACCCCCCAGTGCCACGTGCTGCGCCTCGAAATCCGCGCGGTAAATGTCAGCCTGGGGACACCGGGGGATCAGGAACCCCCAAATCCAACCGGGGAACCCCCAAATCCACCCCAAATCCACCCAACCTCCCCCAATGCCATGCACTCTGCCTCGAAATCCGTGCGGTAAATGTCGGCCTGGGGACATTAGGGGGTCAGGAACCCCAAATCCAACCAGGGAACCCCCAAATCCACCCAACCCCCCAGTGCCGCGCACTCTGCCTCGAAATCTGTGCGGTAAATGTCAGCCTGGGGACATTGGGGGGTCAGAAACCCCCAGATCCAACCAGGGAACCCCAAATCCAACCAGGGAACCCCCAAATCCACCCAAAATCCACCCAACCCCCCCAGTGCCACGCGCTCCTCCTCGAAATCTGCCCAGTAAATGTCGACCTGGGGACATTGGGGTCACCCGGGGGTCAGGACACCCCAAAATCCAACCAGGGAACCCCAAAATCCCCCCAAATCCACCCAACCCCCCCAGTGCCACGCGCTCCTCCTCGAAATCTGCCCAGTAAATGGCGACCTGGGGACAGTGGGGTCACCCGGGGGTCAGGACACCCCAAAATCCAACCTGGGAACCCCCAAATCCAACCAGGGAACCCCCAAATCCACCCAACCCCCGTCCAATGGCATGCATTCCACCTCAAAATCTGCCCTGTGGATGTCGGCCTGGGGACACTGGGGACATGGGGGGGCCAGGGGGGTCAGGACTCCCCAAAATCCAACCAGGGAATCCCCAAAATCTCCCCAGAGCTCCCTTGGTTCCGCCTTGGTGACGTCAGCCTGGATTTTAGGGGGACTTGTGGGGTGGGGTCAGGACTCCTTCAGGATCCCCCAAATCCCACTGGGCCCCCCCAAACCTCCTCAGGGGGGCTCTGGGGGGGGTCAGGACCTCCCCAGGACCCACCTGAGCTCCCTCAGAACCCCTCAAGCCCCTGTGGGAACCCCCAAATCCCCCTTGATGCTCCCAGCTCCCCCCAACCCCACCTTGAGAACATTGCCCTGGGTTTGGGGGGGTCTCAGGACCCCCCAAAGGGACCCCCCAAGGACCCCCAGCCCCACCTGGGCCTGCAGCACCGGGATGGTCTCCAGGGCCGCTCGCTGGTGCTCGGCCTCGGCCTTGAGGCGATCGATGAGCTCCTGCTTGAGGGCCAGCGCGGCCTCGGCCGCCCGCAGCTGCTCCTGCGTCACCTGGACAGGGGGACAGCGCCACCTGTGTCACCTGGGAGAGCACCTGTGACACCTGTGTCACCTGGGAGAGCACCTGTGACACCTGTGTCACTGCCCAGTCCCCCCCACTGCACCCCCAGCGTGGCCTCGACTGCTCACAGCTGCTCCTGTGTCACCTGGACAGGCGGACAGAGACACCTGTGACACCTGGAGATCACCTGTGTCACCTCTGTTACCCCCAGTCACCCCCACCGCGGCCTCAGCCGTACGGAGCTGCTCCTGTGTCACCTGGAC